CATTTTTATTTTTTTTACGAAATTGGACTTTTTTCGAGGGGGGGGGGGTGGCCTTAAACAGTATGCTTTTCCATGTAAAGTAAATCTTTGAAAGATTTATTATGACTGTGAAAATATTTGTCTGATATCAATTAGCTCCAATCCAAGTCCGGCTGTAAACAAGCGTAATTGTTCCGAACACTTGTGAGGACTTCAACTAAATATTGGTTCGTGGCAATTCTTTATTTGTATATCTTCTTTCTTTAGATCAAATCAATATGATAAAAAAAATATTCATCTTATGCTATGAATATATTAGGTCAGTAATCCTTTTTGTACTTTTTGATGATCTTATCGATATATTAAATTTTCTTTTTGAAGTGAAATATTTTCAATCAACATATTAAGTTGATGCAAGAGAATTTAATCTTATCAGTTATGCCATGACATGTAAATTTGTCTCGCTTATTCTATTGTACACTGTGTATGTTGAATACATGCAAATGGTATACTAGAATATATATTAATAAATTCTAAGTTTTGAAAATAATAATACAATTTGATCAGCAAAGACGAATCACAAGCATATATGTTTCTGTTCTAGTGGAGTAGTTCAACATTATACGAATAAATTTTATTGTCATGCGCAATCAGTGTTATGTTGCATTTGATCAACGAATCATCTTGAATGAAACCATATTTGTTAGGTGTTTCCAATGTTATTCTTCCATTATAGTAATTAATTTTGTTTACATATTCAAGATTGATTGGCAAATTCTTGAAATTGGTCACTTGTAAATTTATGACATATAACGATCGTGTGAGTTGTTTCTCTCCTGTTTGCGAAGATTCATAATGATGATCGAAGCTCCAATGTTCCACTATTTCTTCTTCAAAGTAGGGTGTTGAAGAGACTAAGGTTACATTTTCTTTGTAAACAATATCAGCATCTTCACCAACTGAAAATTCATATTTGGCTTTCGCAGCTAAATTGGGTAGTGAGGTTTCACCGACAATTCGATTGAATTCTCGCAAGATACAACTAAGAAGGAATGAAGAAGATGATATATATTTCGTATTTTATCAGTATATACTCACTTGCCACGTGTAAGAAACTGGCCGGGTGTAATTCTGTATGAACGTTGAGCTTTGCTAGTACTCAACGAAGTTGAGAAATATTTAGAGATCAACGCAAATCGTTCGACAGTGACCTGGGGACGCAGCATGGGCAAGAGAAACGTAGTCTTGGCATCGATCAAAAATGGCTTGTCAATATTGAACACGTAAACGCCGCATGATTCTTCACCTTGCTCAACAGTGGCTAATTGTGATGCCATGGCAAATGATTTTCTCATACGCGGTAACCCGAAACTGTCAAGCGCGTCAGCATGATTCGATAGCGTTTGTCGTACAGATATCGGTATCTTCAAATTGATGTCTCCGCCGATAATTTCAGCCTGCTCAATTGATATTGTTGATTCACCATCATTCTTAATTTCAGCTATGGCAATAAGCACACTGGTATCATTATACAGATTAAGTTGATAGCGTGTTTTCCAATCAAGATCCGATCGGAGATAACTTACGTACAATATCTCGTCATGTAATGCTTCATATGTAAAGTTAACATAAACTTTAGGTTTGTGTGGTTCTTCAAGATAAAGAATATGATTCGTTGGCACGTTGTTGAGGAAAAGATCTTTGCCACTAATTGACTCATCTTGTATTTTAATCGTATTGCTGCTCTCATTGAGAAGTATTCCTTTAACAAATTTACTTTCATTTCCATCAGATGAAATTGGAGAACGAACATAGATCTGAGTACCATCAAGTGATTTCTTCTTTTCAGTAATTGTCATTGAGGTGACATTAACATGAGAACCTAACAATACGATGGAATCGGATCGAATGTAGATCCACTGATTATTGGTGAACTCGAGAGGTAACGGACCTAGAGGTTGACTAACTTCAGCCAGATTTTCGTAGAATCGTACGAATGAAAACGTGTCACCGTTACATGTATCGGTAGCAAGAGACAAGATGAATAGGAGTAGAAAAGTCATTTGATCCATGTGCAGTGAATATTTCGTCTACCTACTTTTTACTGACTACTTGAATAGTGTTCGTTCACTGATTTTTCTTTCCAATATTTAAACAATGTCGTCTAATGGATGGCTGTCACGTCGAATGAAAAACAAATGTTAATTTATTATTCGTTCTCTCATTAGCCTATAACGTGTAAATCCAATAGAGCGTCGCTCTTCGTAATTACATTTCATGCTCTTATAAAACTATCTTTTGCTTCTTTCTATAGTGTCTCATAGACTCAAGACAGAATTGAGCGCATGATAGATTTTTCTCTTTTCTCTTTGACATGAGTGTTTGTTTCAGTCTCAGTTACGCATGATTAACAGTTCTGAAAATATTATCTCAAATCTTTAATATGGTTTTCTCAAAATCTTTTTCTAATTGAACATTCTGCAAACAAATTGAACACATTCAACGTTAATCTAGAAAACGTTCTAGGCATGAAGATAAATAAGAGCCATTATTTTCTATGAAGTGGAGAAGTTAAATTCCTTGGAATTATGCAGATCAGAACCGAATCGATTAGCAAAAACTTCACTCGAATACGACTTGTTGTTTTATTCGTAGAATGATCAAAGTCCTCACGGAATAACAAAAGATTTGTTTTTCTCAGTTACACTCGGGACCATATTGGCCTTTAAAAAAAATGTTTCAGGCAAGATACTCTAATAATTTGATTATCTATAGCCTATACAAACTCAAATAGGTCGCATACATGCGGATCTTTTTCGAATAACGTGCAATTTCTTTCTTGCTTCTATCATCGTTTGCCTGATTCATTTCCATCAAAAGTTTAATTTTTGGAGGATTAGTTTCCTTGAACTAGAAAAATTTTGACTATCTTTCATAGTGAATAGTTTTCAGAAACCGTATTAAAATATTATATTAGTTTGCATCTCTTCCTATTCATAACTAGCGATCCTAATTAAGAACGATACGCCCAACGTTCTCCACATTATCTATACTCTTGAAAATAGTTTCATTTTTTCTGGAATATTCTACTTCTTATTCTAGAATTCTTTTACTTAAAGATATCCTGGGCAATCTGTTTCATGCCCTATAACCTGATTTTAAAAAATTTTGTTAACTCTTTTCTAACTTACTATATCCATCTCTCTTCACACAACCGGAGGAAAATTTAATTTTAATTTCTCGATAAAACAGGATTCGGTTACTTTTCCATTGTAAAATTTTGCCAAAGAACAATTTATTCTATAGAGTCGTCCGGAAAACCTTTGTAATTCATATTCCATGAAATAAAACGACATTAAATGTTGTCTTTATTCAATGTAATAATCTTCTCTAGCAGCCACACGTTGTCAAAGATCATGCAAACTATTTATATCATTAGACACATGGAATATATGCAGCATTTGTTCTCATACGATTTCATAGAATAAATTGTTCTTTGGCAAAATTTTACAATGGAAAAGTAACCGAATCCTGTTTTATCGAGAAATTAAAATTAAATTTTCCTCCGGTTGTGTGAAGAGAGATGGATATAGTAAGTTAGAAAAGAGTTAACAAAATTTTTTAAAATCAGGTTATNGAAATAGATCGTGTACATGTTTATATATTCAGAAAATCATCAATGTCAAATATAAAAAATGAAATTGAAAAAGAAATCTTTATCTTCTATTGTATATGAGAGTTTCCCTAACCGACTTTTCGAAACAAATTTTTCCATAGAAAGATGACGCCGTAAGCTTGAATCTGATGCAAAAAGACAATTTTTCAGATTAGTAAAATAAGAGATATAATCGTAGTATTATTGATATAGACATATTATTTTAATATTAGAAATATAACCACACTTACAAACTCAATACCCTGAATTTCTATTAATTTCAGATATTGATGATATGTCAGATCAAGTTTATGCATACAATATATGTTTGTTTGTTTAGTTCTATGTAGGTTAAATTTTTGCGCATCCTCATAATTAGTTACGTATTTGACCGATAACATAGATGACAAGAATATTTCATTATACCTATCGATCATTTGTGTTATCCTTCGTCATATATTTTAAATATTTCATTTTCTGTGTCTAACTTTCGTAATTTGAGATATTAGAAATTTTTTTTCGACATTATTCAGATGATTCAATGACACGAGTAAGAGTGTCATACTTACTGTCACTTTCACTTCTATTTATCGAGGCAAGTATAAATGTTTTTATACTTCACGAACTTTCTATTTAACAATAATAAATGATTAGTTCAACCATTATTTATTCATTGTTGGACTATAATCATCATTATTTACCACGTATCAAAAAATGAGAAGTGTTTTGTATTGAACTACAAATGGATTATTTGTAGTTACTTATCATTAACTGAATTTGTTTTGTCAATTATTGGCTTCTAAGCAAGGTAGTATATTTGACTATCAAAGCCTTTGGATTTAGTTTTAAGTTATGAATACGAATGAACTATCGCTGTTAGTACATAATTATAATCTACAAAATCAATATCGCAATTTTTCAGTGATCTATTATTTGTTAACACAATAGTAAACTGATTATTTCTTTTACAATCAACAAAAAAAACCAATTAAGTAGTGTAAATGGTCTACTTTCAGTTAAATAGTAAGAAAATTAGTAATATGACATTGCTAGACATGAGAGTATGCCATTCTCATTTTCTAAGGTGACATTCTCTGATCTATTATATGTTTAATTTTTGAGTATATGCAAAAAATGTTCTTACCTTCTGTTTGTCCATATAAAATATGAAAAGATGCTGTATGTCGTTTCTCATGCATAGGCATTGCAATAATTCCATATAAACATTGTAAACGAGAAGCATTCTCAATAGCTTCTGTTAATGTATAATCTTCTCGAAGAAGTATTATTGATGTAACAAGACCATGAGAACAAAGACGAGATTCGATTTCCTCAGCATAAACTCTATAAATTAAAAAATAAAAAAATTTTCATTTTTTTTTTTGTTTAATTCAATAAATAATAAAAACCTTTGTCGATTATTAACAATAATTATTTGACAATCAACTAAATCATTCGAATTTTTAGGTCCTGTTAAAATTGTATAAGGTAATAGATTATTTCGAGATATTGAATCATTATTAGATCGACAAGGATCAGACCTTGATGTTGACATATTCATACAATCAGTAATTTCGGTTTCAATTCTATCACTAAAACTTTCAAATTTAATCTTTTTCAAAAAAAAAAAGAAAAAAAAAAAGCAACAAAACTTTTTAAATTACTTTTCAGATTTAAAATTTGATCTTGTACATGTTGAAAATCTTCTTCGAGATGATTCATAATTCGATAAATGTTGATGAAAAGTTGTTTCATGACTTCTTAATTAAAACAATATTTATTTTATTTATAAAAAATAAAAATAAATAACCTTTTTGATGATCGATCGGTTGATGATGATTTTGTACTTGTTGACCTAATATCTCTTGCTGGTAAAACATCTAAATTTATTCAATATATAATTATTAATTATTTTAAAATTCTTTTTTTATTTTCTACCAAGTTTTTTTCCTTTGAGTATCATTGGTATTTGTGCTTCTTTAATTAATTTTTTTGCATCATCAACTCGGTTATATTGCACAAATATATGATCTTTAAACACTCGTATGTCTAAAATTTTAATTCGAAAATAATTTTAAAATATTATAGATTATATTTTATATTTTATACCTGCAATTTTGCCGAATGGTTTAAAAAAATTTAATAATTCATCATCAGTAACTTTTTCAGTTAAAACATTCCCAACATAAACTTTCGCATCAATATTTTCCCTAAAAGATAATAATTACCATTGAATAACATATTATTAAATTTTACATTTCAATATGTGTTCGTTTTCGAGTATATCGTTCAATTTCATCTTTACTATTTCGATAATTTTTACTTGAAGATGTATTTGACGATTTATTATGATCTCGATGAGATTCTGCCATTGTTTATTCACTATTAATTATAGAACATTTCTTAGTATTAATGAATTTTTAGATTGATTTATCTATTGGTACATAACTCTTACAAATCAAATTTATTCATATTGCTTTTTCAAATGCATAGATGTCTTGATCAGAAATATTAAGGAGATTTTCGAAAGAAATTCTATTGGTTAGAAAAAAAAACGATAACATTCTTCAATGTCGTTCATATCATATCATTCGACAAATAAATCGAAAGGCAAAAAATAATATCTTATAGAAAATGCTAAAATACAATTCTAGACAATAAAATAATATTTCTATAACAAATATTTCATTTGACATTTGAATTAAACTTCTTCAAATCGAACAATTTTTCATTTCTTGATAAAAAGATTCTCACATCAGTGTTTTCAATGGCAAGTATACCAAGCAGAAACAAAATGTACGAAACATCTGCTACTTTTGATTTACACTCTGTTGTATACTTGTCCAGAAAAACAATGTGTACTATGTACACTTTGCTAAAATAGTTTACACTTTCATTTCTTTGATTTTTCAACCTTAAAAGTCGCGTATAGTTTTAAATTAATTAAAGATAACGTTTATTTGTTCGCTAGAAATCAAAATATTTATCTTGTGAAAGAAAAAAATGACGAATATTATATTTTGTTTTTCAGATTGTGAAAATTTGGCTTTCGTACACTTTGATACATTTTGCTGAAAAAAAACAAAGTATAAAATACACTTTGCTTTAAATTTCCATTGAAAACACTGGCTCACATATGCTATCATGAAGTTTATTAAAATACATTGAAGTTTACATGCAAATATTGAATATCGTTGAATACAGTTGAAACTATGAACTTATTTATGAGAGTTTATAACTTGTTTGTATAACAATAAGATTGTTTACATAGTTCCATTAAATTTAATTCAATCAATGATCAATTACTAGTTTCCTTAATTGACTTAAATCACCTTAGAAAATTTATTCTTAAAATATGAAATACATTCATCATAATTTTAGATACAAAATTCATACTAAATCATATATATATACTATAATTGAAAAGTAATTTAGCATTATAAATGCTTTCAAACATACAATTCAATCATATTCTTTGATTTGATATTTTATAAAATTTTCTTTAAAATACATAAAATATAAATATAATATTGTTATTAAATGAGATAAATATTAATATTATTTTATTATTTGTTGATAAAAAATAAATAAAATAACTAAATTAAACTAAAGAAGGAAATGTATCATTAAATGGATTATTAGCTGCCAATAATTTTCGTCTAATTGTTCCATGATCATTTCGATAAACCATATCACAAAGAAGACATTCCATTGAATGTTGATTTGCTTCTTGAAAATAGTTAAGCATTTTTATAAAACTTGGTCGAACATTAACTTCATCTCTCCATTGATGATATTCAGCATAATGTGTTTTATTTCCTGCAATATTATTTATTAAAGTAGCAACATCTTTTACTGATTTAAAATTTCTTAAATGAATAATACAAGAGTAATTATAACATGGAAGCCATTCATCAATATTTGGTGCACCTAAATAAAGTGGAACACTTCCAGCAGCTAATGGTTGCCATAATTTTTCAGTAACATAATCATATTCTAAACTATTTTCAATAGAAACAGTAAAAAGATATTGTTTAACAAAATTTATTTTGTCTGAAGCCAATTTTTTTGGATCAATTATAGCTAAAGATTCATTCCAAGATGGATTTCCACATCTACCACGAACATCAACACTAACATAACGCATTAGTTCAAGCATATATTCAGTACGATTTGATGGAGTATCACAATTACTATTTATCCAGAGAATAGGTGATCGTCCTAAACAAGAAATTTTTATTAAATAAATTATTTCAAATAAAAATTTTTTTTAAATGAAATGACTTGATACGATAAACTATGAATGGCATTGAATATGACATTGGTTCAAATGGTGTCTTGTAGAAAGATTCGAAAGGAAAAATATGAAAAATTTCAATTGACAAGACATTCTTTTTTTTTTGCCATTAAGGGGGAAATGAATACGAATGTTGATCAGAGTTGAGCACAGGTCAGGATGGTCTTGATATCTTATGCGAGACTGCCACTCGTTAGTATGGAGTATGACACTAAAATAGAAAATATTCTCCTTTGCTCACCTCTGTTTTTTATATTTTCTTATTATTTTTTTTCTATCATTTTAATTATCAAATACTTTTTCATTGCTCTAGTTTTTTTTTTCGTAATAGTATCCACTATATGTTAAGATAATCATAATGAAACCTCACAAGTTCATATTTTTTTAAAAAATATTTGTTTTCTGTGATGAGAACGTGCCATTAAAATAATACATAAAGATGTTTTTATATTTTCTTGTATTTATAATATTAGTCATTATTGAAAATTTTAGTTGTTGCATTTTAATATGATACGAGATAAATTAACTATAAGATAAGTCATAAATTAATATTTACTTTATTAATCGAAAATCAAAATAAGGATTTTTACTGTCCTGCAGGATACGACGAAGTTACAATTTTATGTCTTATCTTTCTGTTCACCAAGACGAAGTAAAGTAGCAGAAAAGAATAGAGAAAGTTTTCCTGCGCCCAGCTCAAGTATGAATTTTAGTCTTCTCTTCATCAATATGCACATCCACTTTAGAGAGAGAGATTTTTTTCAATATTTTTCTTTTCGGCCTTTCTACGACTAATTGATCAAATCTTATTTAGACAAATTTACAAAAAAGGTAAATTTGCTCGTAAGTAATTGTAAATGAAAAAACTTTTGCTAACAAAAGACATATTATATAATTGATTGACAAGTTAAATAAAGTTGAGATAATTTACTGGTAAAGTGCGACCTATATTGTCTAGAATTTAACTATTTCATTAGAATAAATGAACATTAGATTTATTTGTTCAATATTTCTCTTATCTTTCAAAATAGATAATAGTCAATAGTAAATTATTCATTTGATTTCTTTTATATTTAGGTTTATTTTTAAAACATTATATTTAGTTCGATTTCATCTATTTTACTAAAATATTTTTGATAACATATTTTATATTTTACAGTTGAGAATATTATTGATGTAATTTTATAAACTTTTAGAAATTTTCACATTTAAATAACATAGCTATTTTAGTGAGTTTCGTTTAGAAAAAATAAAAATTAAACAAACCTCTAAATCTTTTTCTAAGCACTTGTTTTACTGTTAAACGTTGATTGTTTTTATTTATTATCTTATCTATATAATCAGGTATATGTACATCCGTAATAAGATCAAAAAATCGCCGATCATATCCAAGAGTAATATCAAACAACGATAAAACCCGTTTTCTATTAGCAACAGAAGGATAATATCCTATTGATTCACCTTCCAAAGTTAAACCCCATTTTGATGTTTCTTCATCACGATATTTTGCTAATGATTGACCATATAATTCAGAAGTTAATGTAGTATATGCTTCAGCACATAAAGATGGTTTTCGACGAGGATTAGAAAATAATTCTAAAGCTGGACTTTTTCGACATACCCAATCAGGTTCTACTCCAATAGCTTTTTTTCCACCTCGAAGACATTCGACGTATGTTGTAAATTCATTAGTGAGATAAATAAGTGTGCATGGAATCATAGGACAATCATCTCTATTTTGTGCTCGACAATAAGCATTTGCAATAGGACGATATTGAGAAGGAACTTCACATAAAGTTTGATTACCTACACCACCAATAAGAATATGACGCCATAGAGATAATTCAAATATATCTGGAAGATCAGCTGACCTATAATAAAAATAAACAAAAAAATATTTTAGAATTTAAAATCAATGATGAAAAAATTGACGGTTGAAAATAAAGAGAAAGTTGATCTCATATAAGTATCGATAGAAATAATTCTATGTCGTTTTTGTTTTTGTTTTCTGTTTTAACTATATTAATTACCTTATAATAGGCTTTGAAGAAGTTTTCGTAGATGATAATTGTGTAGTATTAAACGAATTTTTTGGTGGAAAAAAGGATGGAGGAGAAAAAGACAAAAGAATTGTAAATATAACTACTAATAATATAAAAAAAGCAATACAATTTTGAAGTGAATGACGACGCAAACGCGACATTTTTTTTTAAAATTATAATTAAAGTTTTATTTCTAAGGTTTCAATTTTGTTTAAGTACTACTAAGAATTTACGTTTTAGACAACGCGAATGAATGTTAATAGTTCATAGTTCTATATTAATATAGTTAAAACAGAAAACAAAAACAAAAACGACATAGAATTATTTCTATCGATACTTATATNTTTGTTACATTGAAACATGTACTTTTTGAAGTAATAAATGATTTAATTGAGAACGAGATTTCGAGAAACTTATTTTAGCGGATAAAAATCAACAACTAAAAATCATTCCGGATTTCACAAAAAAAGCTTCTGGAATTTTCCGGATTTTGACATTGGAATTCCGGATTTCTGACTATGACATCTGGCAACACTGTCTGTCACGTATTGTAGATGAAACACCCTTCCAAGCTTCAGGAATAGACTAAATAATCCATTGACCAAAGATATTGGAGATTAAGCACCCTTTCTTTTTAATACACGATATATAAGATTTTAACTAGTCTTTCTACTTGTCTTCAAGTTTTGTGTCAGAAACAGAATCAGAGAAATTGTTGATATTCGTATTCTTGTAGAGCTTGACGAACTCTATTTAACCGTACTAAAAATTCCAGAAAACTATTTCAGCTCAGATGTTACAAAAATATTTTGGTTTTTGCAAAAAAGCAAAAGTAAAAATTCTCACTCGAAACTAGTAAAATGACCATAACTTTATAATAAATTTATGTATTTCAAACTGTCCTTCTTTCAGATGACAGGCCTTCTCTTCCTCTACAAAATGACATAATTTGATCAATACTTTCATACGACTTTGATATAGGTATTCTTGATTTACTAAGCAAAGGTCAAAACTTTGGGACCACCCTTTACCAAACGAAATGGGTTTGGGAAGGGAATAGAATAAGAGTTAGGCTTTTGAACTTTCGCCTTATGAAAATTTGAGAGACTATTTGCTCTCTTTTGTATTTTAGCGGATTTATTCCAGTGACGGTACTAGAAAACAATTTTAGTAGGCAGGCGATGAGAACTGAACTTCATATAGTTATAGCGTTAGGGAAGATAACTCAAGGTATTTCTTAATGAAACCTCAAACTTCTCTGGGCGGTTTAAAGCTTTCTGGGAGAGAGCTAAACCCTCTGTTCTTGCTCTGGTTCTGTCACTGATTTATTTATAACACCGAATTTATTTATTGGCATATCAAAAAGTATGTTTTAACTAAAGTAAAAGAGAGCCATAGTTCTGTAAAGTCAGTTCCCATCTTGAGTTAATTTTCTGTTCTAAGTAATGTTCTCACTTTCATCCTCACCTTTGGCTAGATACTTGTCATCAACCTGATTTCTTTTGTTTGTTGATAAATTATGCAAAAAGTTATATAGAAAGATCAAAAAGCTTCACAAAAAATTTAGGTCTTGGAAGCTGCTAAGAATATGATTAAGGAGGAGTTTCTTGAATGATGCAAAGTTCCCATATTCAATCAGAATTACGCAATTAAATCTGCATAAGTGCGTTATCAACATTACAATAAACCATTAATGATGAACAAGCACGCTGTTGTCTTACTTCTCATCATGAGAAACTAGTCACTTGCAAAAATTAGGAATTTGAAGTATCGTCAAATATGATTATTGGACTTCATGTTACATTAGATGAGAACACTTAAGTAATCGCCACAAAAAAGCGAATACAGGTTAGCATATTTTTCAAAGGTAAACAGTGATCAGAGGTCAACAATCAGGCACTGCATCTTAATACAATATTTTATGATATTGTTTTGTCCATCATTCAGTTTACTTAATATCTTGTTTTTAGTTTTCTTGCAACTTTAGGATAGATAGATCGACTCTAAAAATGTAGAATCTGGCTATTCTTTCTTCAAGTTCACTTGTTTTTGCAACATATTTTTGAAGCATAACACTCGAAATACTTTTTCTATCAAGGCAGCACTTGAAGAAAAATACATAAAATCCTATATAAGGAGATTAAGGAAATTTTATTAAAAATAAAAACATTCAAGTCTATAATGCACTATTTGATAGACACAGACGTCCTATTGGTTTCCAATAGTTTTTATTTTGATTATTACTAATTCTACGATAAAATTCATCTTCAATTTCTGCTCGATGTTGTACACATAAATCATTGTCATTTGATGATATTACATACAAAGGTTCATACAAAGTTCTAGCCATGACATACGTTACTTCCTGTCCGCCAAGTCTTGATGTAAGAAATGCATAAGTTCGTTTTTGAAGTTCATATTCAGGATGATCAACCGGTGGTAGTCCACTATATTCCAAGATTTTTCCATTGACACATAACCATAATGGTAGTGTAGGATCCTTTCCATCATGTCGTGCAAATTCTTCTGCAGAATAAAATACATTCTCAGGAATATTTGTAAATGATTGAAATGTATGAGGTTGTTTTCGTGGTATCACTGCTTGTTCATATTTTAATCGATTTATATATTCTGGTTGAACTTTATAATATTCACAACCTTTTATTATAATATCTAAATAACGTTCACTTGGAAGAGATTTAGGTTGATTATCTATATTCATTTTATACATATAAACAAGATGATTTTGTTCTTGATAATTAATTGAATTAACAATAATTCGATGATAGAGAAGTTCAATTGCATCTAAACAATTCATTTGTTCGTCAGAAAGAAGATGAACAACTCCATGAAATTCAGCTTCAAGACATTCTTCAATATCAGCCATTCCATTCGGTGCTCGAAAAAGAATTCTATGATTTTGACATTTTGCTGGATAGGAGATTAACGGTATTATATTACGAAGATAAAGTGAAATAGGATTTATCATACTACCAATAGCAAAATACCATAGAAATTTTCGTCCATCAGGTAAAACAATATCTGCTTTTTCAGGAGAATCATGCTTGAGAATTCCATCAATAGTTGATTGATCCGGACGAACCAGTTTAGAAAGAACATTTTCACAAGATAAAGCAAAACTAGCATCACTTAGAGATGGATTGAAACAAGAAACCTGCTCCGTCATTGTTACACCAAAGTTAAATAAAATAAATATTTTTTTACGACAGTCACTATGATATATATGACATACTTTATGTGACAGAAAACAAAAAAAGCAACAGTATGACAATGTAAAAACAAAGCCACGTCATTTCAAACAATAAAATATATGAAGCAAATGACTGTCTCTCGTACAGATGCTTCATTTTGTTTATAAAATTTGTTATAATTGTATCACAGAAAAAAAAATAATTATGAATATATAAATTGAAATGAAAAGAACGAAGCAAAACTTTTACTCGATTATTTTAAGAACTTTGCCAACTGCAACTGTTCGACCTTCATCACGTAATGTAAATCGACCAAGTTGAGGAAAACGTTTAAATGGTTCCATACAAATTGCTTGACCTGATTGTGATAATTCAAATCGCGCTATTGCGACTTGATCCTGTTTTATAAAACGTGGATATTTTAGAGTTCTTTCACCTGTTTTACGATCAATTAATACTATTAATTTTATTAATTGAACTTCAACAGCTGCTGCATGAATATGAAGGACAGCAGAATAACCAGGACATATTATTGATTTGTATTCAATTATAGCTATCTGTTAAGTAAACAAAATTAATAGACTTATTTAGTCATCGAATTGTTTTACTTGTGCATCGAATATTCTTCCAACACCACATGGTTCTTGTTCAACATCACATAAAATAAATCCAGGAGAAATTTCCTAAAAAAATTAAAACTTATTAATAAATAATATATTATAAAGAATAAAACAAACTTCTTCTTCAATATTCTTTAGTTTTAATCGAACATTTTCTCCACATACACATGAATCTGTTTCAATATCTTCATAATAAATATTTGTTACTTCAACACGAGTTCGATTTGGCATAACTAAACATCGATCACCAATACGACAACATCCAGATTCAATTTTACCCATTATAATAACACCCATTTCCTATAAAATAAATAATTTATTTTAATTATAGAATTTTTTTTGAAAGAAATAAAAAACAAACTTTATATCTTTCAATAATAGGCATTCGAAGAGGTCCATCAATATTACGATTAAATGATGGTAAACTATCCAAATATTCAATAAAAGTTGGTCCTCTAAAATAATTTATTTATTTATTTTATAATATTGATAATTATATTAAATACTTACTTATACCAAGGTAAAAATTGTTCACCAGGATGTTCTTTAAGTAAAACTCCACTCATTCCACTACAAGGCATAAAATAAGTATCTTCACCAGGTTTAAAACCACATTTTTTTAAATAAGGTGTTAATTTATCACGAATTTCCTCATATCTTGTTTGATCCCAATTAACAGTTGGATCATCCATTTTATTAATAAGAACAACTAAATAACGAACACCAGCTGTTTTAACTAACATAGCATGTTCACGTGTTTGACCACCACGTTCAAAACCAGTTTCAAATTCACCTTTACGAGCTGATATTACCTATAGAAAAAAAAAAATATTTTTTTTTTACTTTCGAAAAAAGTCAATTTCTTAAAAAAATAATACAAGAATAGCAATATCAGCTTGTGCTGCACCACCAATCATATTTGGAACAAAACATTTATGACCAGGCGCATCAAGAATAATAAAATGTTTTTTTTCAGTTTCAAACCAAGCTCTACCAACTTCGACTGTTTTTCCTTTTTCTCGTTCTTCTTCATTTGTATCTAATGCCCATGATAAATACCAAGATTCACGAGATTTTTCCCGTGCTTCATTTTGATATTTTTCTAATGTTCGTTTATCAACTTGTCCTGTTAAGAACCTACAAAATAAAAATATTTCAATTAGATTATTTATTTTAATTAAAAGAAAAAGAATTATACATAAGTTGTCCACCAATGGTTGATTTTCCAGCATCAACATGTCCACAAAAGACAATGTTGATAGGTTCCTTTTTTCGTATAATATCTCGTTTAACAAGAGTATTTTTCTTTTCTTTGGGAACTGCTGATGCATTAACTGTATTGGTTTTATTCATTGTTGTTGTTGTTGTTGTTGTTTCATCGAATAGTTCTACATATAACAACATAAATATATATATTATGTATAAAGAATAAAATCATCTAACTTTCGGTGTCTTCATCAGGAAGATCATCATATTTTACGGCCTCTGTAGTGATAAGTTGTTCTTTTACTTCTTGCTGTTGGACATTTGATTTATTAGTTTCAATTATTGGATCTTTTTGTTTCTTTTCATCTTCGATAGTATTTCGTGTATCAATAGGTGTTGATGGTGGAGCTTTTGAGACTATTGGTTGAGGAAGAGTTGAAGCTTGTGGAGCAGGTGAAAATCCAGAACCAAAGGAAGGTACAAATTCCATAGCATTAACATTCAATGCACGAAGTTTGATAGCTGCGGAGGATAATGAAGAATTTTCTTCTTCTGGTTGATCCCAATTTGCTGGAGGCTCGGACATTTTTCAATTTTATCGTTCAATTTTTTTTAGCCGCACTTTTATAATTGTATGAATTTCGAAAGACAAGCAATATTTACTTGCGAAAGAAACAAACTAATGTAAGAATTGTAATGACTCATTCAGAATTGCCTGTTGGCTTATAAAAAACAGTCAATCATTTTTGTTGTTTAGTATTTGCCTTCTTAAGTTTTTTTGTTTTTTTTTAATCTATTCGATAGAGGCCGCAATGCAATCTTAATAACTATAGTAAGAAAATTATTTATTCAATAATGCTTCTTTTTTAGCATTATTGTATTTTATATTAATCTTTTACATATCAATGTCAAGTGTATTCTGCAATTTTTTCACAAAACTAGTAAATCAAAAATAATATTGAGATTCAATTTTTGGTATATCACATCAACATAACTTATATTCATTTAAATAAAGTGCTCCACTAGTTTTTGAATAACTTCTGATGAGAACATCATAGAGACTTATAGTTTTCACGATTCAGAAGACAAAACTCAGGGCTATCGAACTAAATCGAAATTCGATTGGCAAGCAATTGATCAATCAGTTGAGATCTTGATGAAGATTCTCTAAAACAATATTCTAAAGCTAGTTTTGTTTTCATTTAGATCTTGAATAGAAGAAAATCAATAGAAAAATTGTTCTCTTTCGATCTAGGCAAGGTTAATATTGCTAATTTGTTTTGTTCGAGAGCTATAAGACTAATCCTGATATCTCTGATTTCAGCCGATTGATCTATTTTCATCCAGAAAATCAGCTAGACAAGAGTAATTAATCATTCTGAATCAACTGGAGATATTTAATTTTCGTTTTGAAATAATCTTATTGTGTTATCTTTATATTTCTCGAATTTTCTAAGTAATTTTTATGTAACATAGAATTTGACATTTCAAAAAGTATTGAGATAACAGTGTCATGTGGATTCAAACCTAAAGACAAACATCACTATTTGATTGAGCATGGTGAATTACTAATATCTAGCTGCTTTTTCATGTTGATCAAAGATCAAATGGCTGGAATTGAACATATGAGAAAAAGTCTTATAGCTCTCGAACGACACAAATTAAGACTATCAATCTTGTATAGATTGAAATAGAAGAATTTTTCTATTGATTGTTTCTATTCAAAGTCTAAATTGAAAGTAAGATAGTTTGAGAGTATGGTTTTAGAAAATCTTCACAAAGAATTCGCCTAATTGATCATTTACTAACTAATAACATTTCGACTATAATCCGATGATCTCGGATATTATTTGTTGAATAGTGAAATTCGTAGATTTTGGTGATGTTTCCATGAAAAGTTATTCAAAATAGTAGAATACATTATATTTTTGAAATAAATAGAAATTTATTGAAGAATAAATATTTTTATTTGATATACCGAATGAAAAGATGTTATGTCTTCATTGAAATGTAATGATTGTAGAGAAACTAGAGAAGAATTGTGCTATTACTATGTTACGAGTACTTTTGAATTGGTCAATATCATAGAATAAGTTTTTACATAAATCAGTATCTAATCAGAGAATGTTTATTAGTTGTTTATTGGTTGGTTTGTTGAAAAGTGTTTATATAATACCTTAGAAACTGGATAAATCTCTAAATGGATATTTGGACACTAATCAAGACTTCGACGATTCTCAGAAGAATATCCAACTAAGCTTCTGTAAAATATTAGTAGCAGGATATCTTTTTTTAGTACACTGCTGATAGTTATTTAATTAGATAGATACATTGTAAATAGTTCTTTCATTAGAATTTAAATATGAAATACAATTCATGTATTCATTATGATATCATTAGTGCTTGGGTAATTCTTCATGAGATAATTCATCGAATGATATGCTAATCTTAAAGTATCATGAAGAAGCATCAAAAGTAGATGAATGTCGATTAAGATACACGAAAGATTCTCACTCACACTGTTATCTACATTCACACAGTAGTAATGAATTATCCAGTCACTGATATTATTAAGAAAATCGAGTTATCANTTTTGGTGATGTTTCCATGAAAAGTTATTCAAAATAGTAGAATACATTATATTTTTGAAATAAATAGAAATTTATTGAAGAATAAATATTTTTATTTGATATACCGAATGAAAAGATGTTATGTCTTCATTGAAATGTAATGATTGTAGAGAAACTAGAGAAGAATTGTGCTATTACTATGTTACGAGTACTTTTGAATTGGTCAATATCATAGGATAAGTTTTTACATAAATCAGTATCAAATCAGAGAATGTTTATTAAGTAGTTGTTTATTGGTTGGTTTGTTGAAAAGTGTTTATATAATACCTTAGAAACTGGATAAATCTCTAAATGGATATCTGGACACTAATCAAGACTTCGACGATTCTCAGAAGAATATCCAACTAAGCTTCTGTAAAATATTAGTAGCAGGATATCTTTTTTTGTACACTGCTGATAGCTATTTCATTAGATAGATTCCTTGTAAATAGTTCTTTCATTAGAATTTAAATATGAAATACAATTCATGTATTCATTATGATATCATTAGTGCTTGGGCAATTCTTCATGAGATAATTTATCGAATGATATGCTAATCTTAAAGTATCATGAAGAAGCATCAAAAGTAGATGAATATCGATTAAGATACACGAAAGATTCTCACTCACACTGTTATCTACATTCACATAGTAGCAATGAATTATCCAGTCACTGATATTATTAAGAAAATCGAGTTATCATTTTGTTTACTCGATTTGTGTGTTTATATATATTAATTAAAATATTAAAAAAAAATCATGGAAATATGTTTTTAGTAGTAATTACATTGTTTTCTTGTCTACTTAGATATTATATTCATCAGACGGAAAATTTTTAAAGAATTATTTCTATTTCTTTTCGTTTCGTTGTTTTAATAATCACGAGTTGTGTCACTTGTTGAGAATTCTACTAAATCATAAATAATAGTATCATTAGTCGACATCAGTCAAAACTATGATAATGTTATGATAATGAGAGAAAAAAAGAAACTAAATATATATCGTTTATTTTTTCTGAAGCTTCTGGACTGTGTTAAAAAAAGAGTCCTATTTTGATCTTTTTACTTTCGCTATGGAGGTTAAAACAGACAACATTTTTTCTTGCTATTGAATTCAGTTTGAAATCAAAACGAGCATTGATTCTTTTACTTTAAAACGTAATCTTAAAATACAAATCGGATAAGATTTGTAAGATCGATTTTTTCATTTCTTGTTTAATTTTTGTGAGTTACAATAGTTAGAGAAAACAGTTTGCACTTTTTCAATATAACATCGATTGGCATTTTTATCATGATTTTTAAATAAATTTTTTCTTAAATTCAGATGTAAAATAATTGTACAATTTAGTGTCATGAGAAAAAAACAAAAAAAGTGTCAATGTGTCACGTGAGATTATAACGTGCATCATACTTAATCATTTGAATCTAAATTGTATATCGAACCATGCAAACAAAATTTTATATATTCAAGTCGTACTAATCGTGATAGTCAGGAAAATTTATTCGTTTTCTCGTCTCATATGATACAGCAAAATACACTATTCAGGATTATTCAAATCGAACATTTTTTTTTTTGCATTGTCTTTTTCTCATTACATTACAATAATATTAAAATTCACTTATAGTCACGTGAAAGTCATTGAAAGTATGAAAATGAAATCATCGTTAATAAAGTAATATTTGTTTCTCTATGATTAACTTACGATCTTTTTCTTATTTAACAAAATAAAATAATTTTCTAATTAACAGTAAATTAACAAACAAACTTTTCCTACCGTCTGAATAAAAAATTTTTGTTTCGGAACTTAAAAAGATTCGTCAAGCAGACATAAAATCGAATCGTTTTTTCTGGTTTCATATCAAACCCAATAGATTTCCATACGAAAATCACAAAATCTTCTTCACTTCAAAAATCTTTCAAAATGTTTTGCACTTTTCGTACGGAATAGTGATTCTACAATTGTATTGATACGGATTCTAATATAAACTGTTGATCAAATCTAACTCGACAATTAATAAGATTTCGATATTTCAAAATATTTTTACTTTTTCAAACTACTAATTTATATAAAAGTAAAGAAATAAAAATCTAAACAATTTATTGTATTTAATAACAAGTCACAAAATTGAAAAGCGATATTGTTTTACTAAAAATGATTCGTTTTCTAATGAAAATTCATCTACAGATGACAATGAACCATATGACAAAATAATTGAATAGATCGACAGGAAAATGAATTATCCGAAAGGTGAATAAATATTATCGTGATGGAAAAAACATTCATGGATGTATCCATAATTATTGTGTTGGATACCAACACTGCGTTCTATTTCACCGTTATCAGCAACAAGCAAACGCGTATACTTAGTAAAATTGATCGAAATTTCGAAGCAGAAAAATACCAAGTGAATTATAAATCACTTTCCTTTTTTTGTTACTATTTATGGAAGAAACTAAATAGTATATTTTTACATATAAAAATATAAGTTTTAAAAATTGTACTGTGACTGTAAAAGTATCTATCAAAGGTCGATTAACTCTGATGTTGGTTCGGGTATAAGATGGTCGGGTTCAGCTCGGGCTTGGATATGAAAAAAGTAATAATTCGGGTTCGGTTGCAAAAAGTCATATCCGTGCAGGGAACTAATACCGAACAATTTTTATTTCTTATTATAGTTACTATCATTTTGTTTTTATAACTGTAGAATATAAATGATATCTTTGAATTATTATATAGACATGTCAATTCTATACTGAAAATAAAACGGAATTTCGTTAAATCAATAAAAAATAAAATAATAATAATATTATTGAAATTTTCATTTCGAACCACAGTAATATTATAACTTTTTGTAATTTATCCTGAATTGAAAATAATAAACATGAAATAAATAATTATCCTTTTTCTATTTACTCGACACAAAAAAACAAACAAAAAGATTCAAAGAATAACCATTGAAGATTTATCAATAGTACTA